TTTCCCCTCTCTCGTAAATTGAGCTCTTATGTACGTGATGATGGCTGCTTGTGTTGCAACCGAAACGTCGTACGCTATTATGTTATTTTATTATTTCTTATTTATACGTTACTTTACCGAAAAGACCAAAGAGTAATTCCTGCAGTCACGAAAGCTTCAAATCCAGTCTGAACCACCTATTCGGGGAGGTATGAGGTCTGTGTCTGTGTGTTGTCTCTGCTTTTGTATCTGCCTTTGTGCCTTGGCTTGGATTTGTGGCTCTATGCCATCTCTACCTGTGTGTGGGCCTTGTTGCTTCCGAGTGGGTGCTGCCGCGCCCCACTTTGCTCCATGCACACCTCATGCTAATTTTATCCCATTGTCTCTCAGCCTTACCTTCTCTGCCTATTTAAGGCGACTTCACTGTGTGCTTGTCTCTGTGCTGGTTCGCTCTACTTGGATGTCTGTGTGTGTGTGTGCGGTCTGTATTTTGAGTTTCATACTTAACTTGCAATTTAGCAATCTTTGAAATAGCGTGATCAACCGGACTATGCGTTAATTGTGTTTTGACCGACCGTCTGTGTTGCTTTATATGGTTTCCAAAATTTTGCTAAACCCTGTTTGTATGGTATGCTTCTCTCTCTGTGTCCCCTGTTGTATCTGTGTTAGTTCCCCCTGCTTGGGTGTCTGTATATACATCTGAGGTTATGTGTTTCCCCTCTCTCGTAAATTTAGCTCTTATGTACCTGATGATGGCTGCTTGTGTTGCAACCGAAACGTCGTACGCTATTATGTTATTTTATTATTTCTTATTTATACGTTACTTTTCCGAAAAAAACAAAGAGTAATTCCTGCAGTCACGAAAGCTTCAAATCCAGTCTGAACCACCTATTCGGGGAGGTATGAGGTCTGTGTCTTTGTGTTGTCTCTGCTTTTGTATCTGCCTTTGTGTCTTGGCTTGGATTTGTGGCTCTGTGCTATCTCTACCTGTGTGTGGGCCTTGTTGCTTCCGAGTGGGTGCTGCCGCGCCCCACTTTGCTCCATGCACACCTCATGCTAATTTTGTCCCATTGTCTCTCAGCCTTACCTTCTCTGCCTATTTAAAGCGACTTCACTGTGTGCTTGTCTCTGTGCTGGTTCGCTCTACTTGGATGTCTGTGTGTGTGTGTGCGGTCTGTATTTTGAGTTTCATACTTAACTTGCAATTTAGCAATCTTTGAAATAGCGTGATCAACCGGACTATGCGTTAATTGTGTTTTGACCGACCGTCTGTGTTGCTTTATATGGTTTCCAAAATTTTGCTAAACCCTGTTTGTCTGGTATGCTTCTCTCTCTGTGCCCCTGTTGTATCTGTGTTAGTTCCCCCTACTTGGGTGTCTGTATATACATCTGAGGTTATGTGTTTCCCCTCTCTCGTAAATTTAGCTCTTCTGTACCTGATGATGGCTGCTTGTGTTGCAACCGAAACGTCGTACGCTATTCTGTTATTTTATTATTTCTTATTTATACGTGACTTTACCGAAAAAAACAAAGAGAAGAATTTTCCCTGTCTACAGGAGGGCCTTTGTGGTTGGAAGGTGGGGCTGGCATGGTGTGAGCGGGAGGGACATGAATTACTCGGTGTGAAAGGTTGGATTTTGTGACTCACATGTTGGAAAGTGTTGCAGGATACATGTGTGTGTGTATGACTGTTCTCCCTGGTTTTGCAGTTGACAGAGCTACATGTTATGGGTACAGCTAGCTCCTAGAGCTCCTAGAGCTAGCTGTACCCTAGAGACAATCGCCAAGCCCACTTAAGCACCTCTCCAGGATTGAATTTATGCTGTTAATGCGAGGGTTGGCAGTAGCTCTAATCGGCGGCACACCTCGTGGCAGAGCCACCCACTGCCACCATCACAGTGGAGATTGGTCGACATTTAAGCGTGCCATTGCAGAACCACTGATCAGAGTGTCCACCACACAGTCGTGAACCTCTATGGGATTCGTGCGAGTCTGTGAGTCTCTTTATGAGTCTATTATTCTCTATGTGAGAGTTTGTATGATCACACCCGGTTCCATTGTGAGTGGACCCTCAAACTCGCACACAAAACCCCCAAACCCCACACACAAAACTCCCAAACCCCCAATACAGAACCCCCAAACCCCACACACGGAACCCCCAAGACAGATGCCCCAAACCCTCTCTACAGCAGGGACGTGCGGTCAGGGAAGGCAGGGAGGCAGAGCCTCACCTGTCATACTCCAATGTAAATGGCGGTTTCGAAAAGTAAAAAAATATAGAATAATCTTGTAAATTAAAAATTCTACAAATTTGCGAAGCTCCACTGCAAATACAAGAAGAGAAGAGAGGTGAGGCAGCGACGAGCTCAGCCTCCCCTCTGATTGCGCAACCCCTCAGTAACTGGATTGAGCTCGGACAATAAGCGCGTGCCTGTTACAATCTCAGTATGTCACCAATGTAATGGTTGTAGACCCCTTCATTTCATGTTCTCGCCTTCATGTAACTTATTTCACGTATATGTATGAAGATATCTAGGCTCGCTGGTCTCGTCATGAAACTGCAATGAAAAAGCACCAGGGGAGGCAGCTATCACATCTGCCTCAGTGACGGGGACGTATCTAACACGCCCCCCTCAGTTAGGACACGCCCGCTCAGTGAGGCCACGCCCCCTCCGTAAGGCCATGCCCCCCTCAGTGTCTGAATCAGGCCCTGACACTAGCCAGTGCCTCACCAGCCATTGACCTCACCTCATGTCACTGCACTACAGATTCCCAAACCCTCCACACAGAACTCGTGAACGGAACTCTCCTGGTTGTCCCTCATCTCAACCCCCCCTCTTTTCAACTTTATGCAATTTCCTACTCTGTCACACGCACTTTCACACTCTACATTTCATTCTCACGTTCACTGTCTCACTCTGTCCCTCACATTATCTCTCCCACTTTCACCCTCACCATCACATTCACTCTCATACTCAATCTCTCTCTAAATCACTCTTTCACTCACTCTCACACTCACTCACATTATCTCTCCCACTCACTCGCATACTCACAGTCTCACTCTCATTCTCACACTCACTATCTACTCACACTCACTGTCTCACTCAATCTCTGATTCACTTTCACACTCAACATCACACTCACTCTCGATCTCTCACGCACACTGTTCAATATAACACTCACTAACTCTTACACACACTCACTCTCACTGATACTCACTCTCCCACTCACTCTGACAATCACATTCACAAACTTTTTCACTCAAGTCTCACTCACCAGTTACACCACGAATGGTTGGGGGGACACGTGGCCACTCGTTGAGTGGGAGGGGTCTGAGGGTCTGACGCAACAGAGACAGAGGGGCGTGGCCATAGCCGTGGAGGTGAGTGACGTCACTGCACACGTGACTCCAGTGTAGTGAGACGTGCAGAGAAGGTAGCAGCACTAGCAGCACAAAGAGCCGAGCTCTTGTTGCTATTCTTTACGGGGAGTGGAGACGAGGAGGAGGGTGCACAGTGAGACTCACGCTCACTCACACACTTTCAGACTCGCTGTTTCACTCTCAAACTCTGTCTCACACTGTATCACTCTCACATACTGTCACATTCACTAATTTACTCATTCTCACATGCACCCTCACTCTCACACTAACTCACTATCACACTCACTCTCTTACGTTCCCGCTCAATAACTCACAAGCATTCAATCTCACGCTCACATTCACTATCTTACTCATACTCATTGTCTCACTCGCTCACTCACATGCACTCTCACACACACACTTTTACTCTCCTGCTCACTCTCTCTCACATTCACTTCGACACTAACTCTTAAACTCATTCACACTATCTCACTTACACTGTCTCTCACTGAATCTCACTAACAGACACTCTCGCACTCTCCAACTCATTCTCTCACTCTAACTCACTCTCACACTCTTACTCTCCCGCTCAATAACTCTTACATGCATTCACTTTCACACTCACTAACTCGCACTCACTCTCTCACTCGCTTTATTACTCTTCCACTCACTCTCATTAAATCCCCCACTCACTTATTCTCACATTCATTCACACTCACTCACTCTTTCATTCTCACTCAATCAATCTGTCTCATTCGCACTCACTCACTATCACACTCACTGTAACTCTCTCACTCACGTTCACACACATTCACTCTGACACCAACTCTCTCACTCTCCCATGCACTCTCACAACATCAATCTCACACTTTCACACTCACTCTCACACTCACATCCCCTCACACACTGAATCTCACACTAACTCTCAAACTGACTCCCATTTAGTCTCAATCACTCATGCTCACTCACTAACTCTGATACTCACCTTCACACTATCTCAATCTCATGCATTCTCACACTTTCTCACTCACATTATCTCTCCCACTTACTCGCATACTCACTCTCGTTCTCACACTCCCTATCTACTCACACTCACTGTCTCACTCAAACACTCACTCACTTTCACACTCAGCATTACACTCACTCTCAATCTTTGACTCTCTCATGTACACTCTTTCACTATAACACTCACTAACTTTTACACTCACTCACTCATACTCTCCCACTCACTCTGACACATTCACAAACTTTTTCACTCAAGTCTAACTCACCAGTCACGCAACGAATCGTTGGGGGGTCACGTGGCCACTCGTTGAGTGGGAGGGGTCTGAGGGTCTGACGCAACGGAAACAGAGGGGCGTGGCCATAGCCGTGGAGGAGAGTGACGTCACTGCACACGTGACTTCCGTGTAGTGAGACGTGCAGAGAAGGTAGCCGCAGTAGCAGCACAAGTTGCCGAGCTCTTGTTGCGATTCTTTACAGGGAGTGGAGACGAAGAGGAGGGGGCACGGTGAGACTCACGCTCACTCACACACTGTCCGACTCGCTGTTTCACTCTCAACCTCTGTCTCACACTCACTGTATCACTCTCACATACTCTCACATTCACTAACGTACTCATTCTCTCTCACATGCACTCTCTCACTCTCCCACTCACTCTCACACTAACTCACTATCACACTCACTCTCTTACGCTCCCACTCAATATCTCACAAGCATTCACTCTCATGCTCACATTCACTATCTTACTCATACTCATTGTCTCACTCGCTCACTCACATGCACTCTCACACACACTTTTACTCTCCTGCTCACACTCTCTCACATTCACTTTCACACTAACTCTCAAACTCATTCACACTATCTCACTTACACTGTCTCTCACTGAATCTCACTCACAGACACTCTCGCACTCTCCAACTCACTCTCTCACTCTTACACACTCTTACTCTCCCGCTCAATAACTCTTACAAGCATTAACTTTCACACTCACTAATTCACACTCACTCAATCACTCACTTTATCATGCTCCCACTCACTCTCATTAACTCCCCCACTCATTTTCACATTCATTCACACTCACTCACACTCATTCTCTCATTCTCACTCACTCAATCTGTCTCACTCGCACACACTCACTTACTATCACACTCACTGTAACTCTCACTCACGTTCACACACATTCACTCTGACACTAACTCTCTCACTTTACCATGCACTCTCACAACATCAATCTCAAACTAACTTTCACACTCACTCTCACACCCCCTCACACACTGAATCTCACATTCACTAACTCTCAAACTCACTCACATTTATTATCAATAACTCATGCTCACTCACTAACTCTGATACTCACCTTCACACTATCTCACTCTCAAACTCATGCACTTTCACACTTGCTCTCACTATCTCACTAACTCTAAAACTCACGCACTCTCACACTCAATCTAATCCTTACAAACTCTCACACTCACGCTCACTCACTCTCTCATAATCACTTCATACTTTCATGCTCACTATCAGTCACACAGGGTCGGCATCGTACCCACAACTTCCTGCATCCAGACTAATAGTCTACTGGTCGACTCATGGAATACTGGTAGACTACTAGTCCACTGGTAGACTACTAGTCCACTGGTAGACTCATGCACATGGACAACTGCCACTGGGAGTTCCCAATGGCTGGACCACATAGCAACTTCGCCCCATATTGCCAAAGCCTGGCCTTCCTCACTGTGGAACCCAGGCCCTCAGCGATGTTGGCTCATTGCTCACTTACTGCACTTTCTCCAACAGATTGCTAAAGTTTTGATTTAAAGCTTTCGTGACTGCAGTAATTCATATTCTTAGTTCTTTCGGTAAAGTCACGTTGAAGGGAAACAATAAAATAATAATATATATAAAACAATACAAATTCTCACGACGTTTTTATTGTTTTATATATATTTTATTATTTTATTGTTTCCCTTCAACGTGACTTTACCGAAAGAACTAAGAATATAAGATTGCTAAAGGTTATACCGGGTGACCTGCATCTTTGTGTGTGTAGATGGCCAAGGCTGAAGAGAAGGTGGGCTCCAGGAGCGGCGTGCAATGGAGTGCGCTGCCCACATCGGACGGCGTTGCCATCGCCAGTAGTAAAACCCCACGAGGTGATAGATATGATTAGAGAAGTCATGGTGGGGGACGTCATGGTGGCCATAGTTGAAAACAAAAACAAGCATGTGAATGGTTATGGAATAAAAATGTTGCGAGGCAGAGTGGCACAGCAGGAACACTCCTCGTGCATTTCTCTTTGGAGTCGGGATGATCTCCCCCTGCTCTGCATGGGATTCCTCCAGGCTCTCCAGTTTCCTCCACACAGCGAAAGAAAATTATTAACACATCCCAATGCTAAAAAAAATAGTGTTGGTGATTATATGCAGTCCAGGCACTCAGTGGAGCTTTCTTGGGTAAACAAGCATCGTATATTTTATCATTTCAGCAGGAAGGGCCCAATAAGCAGCCACGTTATGTTTCATGGGTGTCCTGCGATCGTTTGGATGTTAAACAAGTCTTCATGTCAAAAGCGCGGTTACATAGGTGGTGATACCAAATTTGTCATTAGTCTGTTCTTCACATGTTACAGGAATACGGAATTGGTTAAAAATCAAATGGAAAAAAAAACACTACATTGCTTAATGAACAAATTAAAGAAACGAAAACGTTTTATTTAACAAAACAATATTAAAACAATAGTACAGTATTAATCATCATCATTGTTCTTATGTTTGCAGAAATCTTGAAGCTCTTTGGGGATTTCCTGACCGCCACTGAGAGAAGCGAGGTCCTCACCGTGAATAACATCTGGTATTTCGGCGTCCATAACAAAGGCTTTGGCACCCAGAACCATGGCTACGATGATGTCTACAACCATTATGTCTCGGTACGGCTCTCCTCAGGGCACGTAACAAGTGGAGAACATACAAAGTCTGCACACTGACAAACACCATGATCATCTGCAGAACAGGCGGACAACATACCCGACACATTCACACAATCACTCTTACACATGCCATACAAAATATTGCATCCATACTCAGTGACTGAATGAGCAGTGACTGGATCATTATACTTAGTTGATGTGATTGCTCCGCAGGTCGAGCATGAGCACCTCAATTTCCGGTATGAGGTGCTGAAGAAGGTGGTCGGACCTTACAGCCAGATCTTCAAATGCCGTGACCACAAGACCAACACCCGAGTGGCTGTGAAGATGTGGAGACAGTCATTCAGGTAAGACTTCACAATGGCTTGCATGGAGAAGGCAGGACAGTAAATCAATTCGATCTTTACGTGGGTAGTGTTATGGTGCTCATATGTGTGGGTTTTCTCTGGATTTATGTTTAACTTCTTTCGCGCCGTACGTAGCCCACTGTATTAATCGCAGGTGTGATGAAGGACAACTGTCTTTTAGAGCGAGCGACATACTGCGTGTTACAAGGGTCACTTCTTGTAATTAATATGAAGCTGTGGATTTCCGCTGTGCAGTGCTGAGGAAGACCACAGCCAGTGGATGGAGTACCACATCTTGCTCCAACTTCAGGGCTGGGCTAATGATGATGTCAACGTTGTCAGAATCCTCGACTTTTTCACCTTCAGGGGTCACAACTGCCTCGTCATGCAGCTCATACCGAAGTACGTACCCCGCTGTCTGAGCAGCTGAACAGAGACATGCAAAGCTGGCTGCTCCACTCCATTTTCACCTCCAGACTTGCTCATTTTTCTACAGCCACGCCAACAACCGGCAGTGTGGCGGCAGTGGTAACACTCGTGCATCATACCAAGAGGTTGGTTTCGATTGCTGACTCGGATATAAGTGTCTGTGTGGAGTTTCTTCTCCCCTTGTTCTGCATAGAATTCCTCTGCATTCTCCGGATTCCTCCAATAGCAAAACACTCACACACAATTTAACTGGCATCCGACAAATTTGCCAATTCTGAGGAAATACCTTAAAATTTACTCAGTTGGGATTACACATAGGAACAATGTCACCCCGACAGGAGAACTTGGCAGGACCCTCGGGAAAATGTGTTTACATTTAGTGAGGCTTCCATATGATAAACGAGTATAATAATTGTTATTGTTGACTCAGCCCTTTACAGGATGGCACTGACTTTGTGTTGTTGTCTCGTTAACAGAAGACGTCTGTTAAGTGCCGTTGATTGCACGGCACCCCAGCACATGGAGATGACAATGGTGAAACTCTTCACCAAGTCCATTCTCAAATTCCTCATTCAACTCCATGCAAAGGGAATCGTGCATGGGGACATCAAGCCGGTGAGTGGAGACCACGTTCAGCGCAACTGCAGCATTAATTTGAGTTCCCGTTCGGGGCTCGTCCTCGTAAAACCTAGACCCATTGATCAAAGCGTTAATGCATCCACTCTGTCCAACTGTCAATAGCTGCGGGTCATGATAACTGTCGTACAGAGGGTTATGTATGGGTGAAACTTAAGTTTAAAGGTTTTTTGCTATTAGGGACTCGCAAAAGAGAAAACCACACACGTCAAAACAAAGCAATGCCCAAATCATGGAGACACAAACCAGTGCAAGTAAAAGGAGGCTTTGCAAATAAGCAGCTGTGCTTTAACCTGACAGCTGCCTACCTGTTTTCATGCTGCTCATGCGCATGAGAATACGTTACCAACTTCATGCATGTGCATGCTTCTGCCTAACTCACACTCACAGCTACAAGTTCCGTTCGGCCCTCTTGTAACAATCGTTATTCAGGTATGATAAGAGCGCCCTCTTTTACGCCGGGTACCCAAGAGTGCTCTACATGAGATTATCGATTGGCATCATCTCATCTAAATACATTTGAATTGGCACCCCATCGGCAGCCGTCAGAAAACATTTTCTTGAGTCGCTATGAATAACCTTGGCAAAAGCATGTCATCTCCAATTCCCCTTTTAATATTTATTATGGTAATTTTGCTACATGATCAATCTTCTGCAGGCTGAATAGTTGTGCATGCCTGTAATTCAGCACTGTAGAGCCGCAGGTTGGTGGATCACACCAATGGTGTGAAACATCATCTGTGGCCCCTCCTCGTGCCTCAGAGTGGTTCTCGCTCTTCCAGATAGAGTGAATACTGCATGGCATTGGCGTATTACAAGTTGACATTATTATCATAACCTCTAAATGTGAATATCTTCTGCTGCCCATCGTCTAGAGGAACATGTCGATTAAAGAGCCTGGGGCAGGGACCATCCGGATGATGAGTTTTGAAAACAGCTTTTTGGTGGGACGCCAACGTGAGTCGTGAGTGTGTGGCTGAGTGTGAGAATGTGTGTTTATGCAGTTTGAGGAGCAGTAGTGTAGTGGTTAGCACACTGCACAACTAAACTGGCGACCCAGGTTCGAGTGGCGGTTTTCTGAACCGGTCATGGGCCTCCCCTAGGTAGACTCAGTCTCAAATGAGTACCTGGTGTGGTGTGTAAACAATGCCACTCAGGAGACAAAGGCGGCCAGGCACGGTGCAGGCCACCCACCCCCTTCAAGTTTCGTTCCAGACTTCATAGGTTGTCACTAATTGCACTTGCCCCAACAATGTCTAAGGCTACACGGGGGAACTTTTCTTTGTTTATGCAATGAGGAACCGTAGTGTTGGGGTTAGTCAACAGCACTACAATCCTGGTGACTGGAGTAAAATGCGCGTTTATGAATATCTGAACCAGTCCTGGGCCTCCCCTAGGTCGACTCAGCCATAAATGAGTACCATGTGCGGTGTCTAGGCACCACCACTTTAGGAGACAAAGGTGGATGGGCGTGGTGCTGGCCACCCATCCTCGTGTGTGTTGTTCAGGCCTTCATTAGGTGCTCGCTAAAAGCAAATTCCAGAGAAATTTCTTAAAGGCTATATGGGGACGTTTTGTGTGTGTGTGTGTACACGTGTTTGCATCTCTGTGCCTGTGTGCATGTGTCTAGACCTATGGGTGAGTACATGTGTTTTTATACTTGTTTTTTCGTGCCTGTGTGTTGCTGTTAAAGGCTATATTGGTGATGTTTGTCTTTTGTAATTCACAGGTTCACAGATTTTTTGTTCCCACGCGTACCTTGCCCCAGAGGCGTACCTGGGCCACATGTCATCTTTCCCGGTTGACATGTGGGGACTGGGTTGTACAGTGGCCGAGTTGGCTACTGGATGCATCCTCTTTCCGGCCATCAACAAACACGACCAGCTCCCGTGTTATATGGAGGTATTGCCCACACAGCAGTAACACTGACAATTCCGTTATTGTCATCAATTTCATGACCAATTTGCTCTTGAAATTGCCCAACTCAGTCATTGCTTCTAACCACGTTCACTTCTCAGCGAGTATTTCCGCATCAAGGGTATTAACATAATATTCAAAATTGGTATGACCAATAGAACATGCGACAGGAAATAGTTCCTTACAATTCCCTGAGCAGACCACTTAAGTCGTCTCTTCTGTGAGAAAGAGGCATACAAGTGCTCGCGACTGGTTGCAGGGTTGTCCACACACAAGCTACTGAGTTGCATACAACCGCGTGATAGAACCAATTACTCAGGCGTAGACCCGTCAAGGTAACCGTGAGCAGAACGCATAGATTTTTAGAGTTGGTGTTATGACTCGTGATAGATTATTGCGTGAGGCCACGGATTGGCCCAATGTCACCCTAAAACCACCTGAAAACAATTTGAATTGTCAGATGAACAAGCATTTATCGCGCCAATTATTGTTGTTTCATCTCAACTGCTTGTAATGAAGACAATTGTCACAACCATATAAGCAATTTCAAATGAAGCCACGGGACCCATAACCTCCGCTGTGAATGAGGCAGATGGTGCATTGTATTTTGTGGTTTAATACTGCAGGAAATACCGGGGCAGTCACTGGGATTGATCGGTGAACTTCTGCAACGTGCTGTGTACGCGGTATTGCTGGGCCATGCCAATAACACTGCCGTGTGCCTGCATGCGATAACCATCGGGAGTGGTAGCTGAGTGGTTAGCGCCCTGACCGTGTTGTGTTGAATGTTGGACCAGTCCTTGGCCTCTCAAATATCGACTCAGCATTAACTCAATACCTAGAGTGATTTGTAAAATAGCTACTGCGGAGTGGCCTTGGGTGCTGTGCCATCATCGGTAGGTGCTCACAGACAAAACATGCCACACAAGTGTGTCAATACTGTATGGGTGATCATTGTCTCTTTGTAAATTGTGTGTAGACCCTCGGGATGCCTCCTCAGAATTTGATTGATGGCGCGCCTGGGAGAAACAAGTACTTTGGTGAGTGAAGGGGCGAGCGGGGGAACCGCGTTAAGTTTGAGGCGGAGCTGGGTCTGTTAAGAGTTTAGTGGGGCATTACTTTGCATAGTTAACTACTTCCACACGTGTTTTTGCAGTCAATATAATTTGTAATGCTTTTTTGGGGAAGGGTTAGGCCTCATGGTGATCTGCCCAAATTTGTGTCATTAAGGCTCTCCACCACCTGACACAGGCAAGCAAATTAAAGTACCATGAAGTGCAAGCGATTAAAGAGACGCCAGTTGTGACTAGTAATCATTATTTTAGTAGAATCATCTGTAATGTGAAGGGCAATGCTCAAAACCATGTTTAGCAATCAGATCGGACGTTTTTGGGAAGCTGCAGAGGCGAGGAGACGTTTCCTCCCTCACCTGCAATGTAGAAGGTCGTCACGTGGATCCCCACCCTGGCTGCTGTACATTGCGGGAACATATCTTCTCCCCTTTGCCTGGTCGCCTCTGAAGAAGAGGCAATAGTTCAGTGGGCTTTACCTGGTAAAAAATAATGTTTTGCTTGAAAGAGATTAAATCACAGTTAAAATAGCTCTTCTTTGTTTACCTTTAGGATTTATCATAGTTAATAATGATTGATTGCACTTGGTATTTGCGCTATCATTCTTAGAATGTAAAGCTATCACAAAGGAAGGTGCCTGCTGTGTTTCACAGACACCAACTGCAGTCATTTCACAGTAGCGGGCATAACGCCAGCACGGTCATTTTATTACTTCACAAGGTCTGTAATGTCCCATTTTAAATCAAACAGCGCAAAGCATCATATGGTTAATACTGAAGTAGTAACCAGGGCGGCTTGCAGAATTTGAACCGTGAATTTCTGCAACAAGCGGTAAAAGCACTCCCACTGATCTATGTCAGAGCACTAAACGATTTTGTTTCTGCGCTGTGGGTGTACAAGGGTCCTGTGGTTTGCTGTGATGTTTTACCTGATCTGCATCGTTCCTGCAGATGGTTCGGGGATGCCTTTGATGTCCGGACAAAGCAGGGTCCCAGGCAGTCACCCCCTCTACCTGGCACTCGGGAGCCAGGACACGGAGTTCCACGACTTCATTAGCCGCTGCCTGGAGTAAGAACACACCCCCGCCCCCACCATACCACCGAGAGGTTTTCCCATTCAGTCACCTGGTAAAAAGAAAAGAGTTTAATAGTTTAACATCACTTGCGAACGCTCCTCTTTGATCACTAGCTCCACCCTCTATTCTGATTATTCTTCATCTTCCAAGCCATATCTCCCATTAAACACCATTGTCCATAGTCTGGCATGTAAAAACATCCACTTGCATAGAGACTCACAGACTCATGTACTTACATGGTCCATGCACGTGTAGTGACTCAGTCGGAGACAGGGTTCTTAAGGGACCTTCCTTATTCCACACGTCAGGAAACCACATGTGCCCTGCGTGCCTACGCACTAGTCACACATCCATGTTCTTCAAGGTACTACCTAGCTGGAACAGTCTGCAGGCTGTCTAGCTTGCGGCGTCTAAGGTGGTCAGAGACGGAACCGACGAAGGTGACGAACGGCGACACGGCGAGGGGATCCACTTCCAGCAACAGCCCCGCGCTCCCGTCCCGGGCCCCCTTTCATTCGCCTGGCGTGGCCTCGCCCCGCCCTTGCCACGCCCTCTTTCTCGAACCTACTAGCGGGTTATCAGGCTTCAGATCGATTTATTCCTGGGCTTCCCTTTAGATCTTCCTCTGCTGATGTGTGTACTGACCCCTGCTGCCTCTGCCGCTTCCTCGTCAGCAGCCCGCGTTATTACACTACACACGTAAAGAGAGACCCATATACTGTCATACACTCACATATTCCATACCAATATCCGCCATTAGTCCCGAAGTGTGTGAGTTCCTCACACAATCCAGCCTGGTTAAACCTAGGATGGATCGAAGGAAGGCCAGCCTAAACGTCCCTAACAGGCACAGATGTTCCTTTAGAGGGGTCCACGTTTGACAAGCATCGAGAAGAGAGGGCATGACTGTGCCCGAGAAGATCTGAAGCTTCGTGTGGAGCGACAAACTAGGTAGCTTCCAAACAGCATTGCTCAGCCGATAAATAAACGCCGCCAAACTGCGGATTCAGAGTGAAACCTCTGCTGTCGAACCGGAGCTGGTCATAAGCACACTGGCCAGGTTTGGGAAACTCTCCACTCTCTCCACAACTGTTCCATGACCAACAGGGAGCTGAGGGTGTGGAGTGTATGATGATACAAAATACCCAGGCAAGTGCTTAGTTTTGGTGCAACTGATGGTAAGATCACACCTCTCAGTAGTACACTCCAGGTTCAACAGCTGTGCTTCCAACTTCGCCTCTGAGTGAGCAGCAATCACCAGATGAGCATACATAACTTGGTTGACCAATAGGGAGCCATTATTCGACCCCACCCAGGCATCGATCAGCCATCAAAGGCTCCACAGACTACGTGGTCAAAAAAGATGTTAAATAATGTGGGAGGCAGAGGACATCCCGTTCACACCCCAAGGTAAACAGGGAATGGCTCTGACTTCTGGCCACGTAGCTTTACCTGAGATTGCCCACCATCATGAAGGCCCTTAATGTTCACACACTTACATAGAGACCCACAAACTTGCATACACTTACATCAGCCATACATTTACAAATACATAGACAAATAGACTCGCATGCACTGACGTGGTCCATACACATATAAAGACCCAGACTCATACACTCACATGGTCTATACACTTATAGAAACCAATAGACTCACATACTCTTACATGAAAGCCCTTAAAAGGAACATATATCGATATATGTATATCATTTATGTGGAGGGGGCTCGGTGAAGGATGCCACTGGGCAACGCCAGGCTACACGTACCTTGAGGCTACTGGACAGTTGTAAGCATTGACCCTCCAACAACAATTGAGGGTGGTGGAGCGATGTTCACAATGAGCGGACCACCAGGGGGACAAATACATCAAGGTGGCACAGTGGGGAGAACAGAAGGTTCATCTGCCAGTCATCACCAATAGTGGAGGATTTATGCTTCTCCCTTTTTTATATAGTCAGGTCCTGCAATTTTTTTTATCAGGACTCTATGACACAATCAGCCACTATTGAGTCATGACATATCCAACATCGTGGCGTATAGGTTAGATTATTGCAACTTACTAGTCTACGGGACGTCTGGAAATAGCATTAGGAAGCTGCAGCATGTACAAGATTCTTTGCAAGATCCAACCATGTCCGTCCAGTGTTCACGGAGCTGCATTGGATTACACTTGCTAAACGAATACATCACATTCAATACACACAAAGTGCTTACCACAAATGAACCATAATGAACCACAACACCATTGGGGCAGTTAACGTTTAAATATAGATTGAAAACTACTTTTTTAACTCATGATTGAATGTAGTTTGTTGTCCTTCACCCGTACCTGCAATTGGCACGGTTGGCTATGTACGGTGCGAAATAAGTTGAACATACACACGTAAGTTAATGGACACAGTAAGATAAAAAAATGCACATAAATCCTTACATCATTATCACCCTTGCCACGTGTGCCACATATTTCTGTGTGTCTCAACAGATGGGATCCAGCTCTGCGGATGACACCAGCAGAGGCACTGGCGCACAGCTGGCTGAGGGATGAGGAAATTCCGAGGGATGAAGAAATTCCGAGGGATGAGGAAGTGCCGAGGGATGAGGAAGTGCCGAGTCAGTGTGTCCCTGTTGTGGACACATCAATCCACTCAGAGGCATCCGTCAAGGAGGAGACAAGACAGTGGGGTGAACCCCTGCAGAAAGAGAAGAAGAAGTCACGTCTGGTTCGAGCATACAGGGCCGTATGCTCATTCTTCCGTGGCTTTAAGAAATGCACCGCATGCGACCATAATGCTCATCCTGGGCGCGTACACATTCCACACACCGTATACACACACGCTCGCCTAAGCGAATACATGAGCAACTTCCGGTGCTAGCATCAATATCAGATCCCATCTCCTGAGTTTTTTACCCCCACACATTTAGAATAAATCCCCTCTTAACGACGGTAATTGGTTCCATGAATACGGTCATTAAGTAAGTTGGTAATTAAACAAGTACAGTCGACCCTTCGACATCGCAGGGGTTAGGGGTGCAGACCCCGCGATCTGGAAAAACCAAGTTAAATGTTTTGGTATCCTTGCTGAGCGAAGCAAGCACCTCCAGTTACTAAAGTTTTTAAGTTATCTCTACATGTTCAGCCTTTGCGTGTCGTCTGCTGGCTTTTGCGTTCTTTTAGCAAACGTAACTTTTTACAAAATGTAACTTTAAAAAAACAAATTGTGTATATTTATGGTATTGAAAGATACAATAGATTAATATTATACAGTACTGTACATATATTTTATGGATTTATGAGTCCCTAAACTTTTTGTGTCGTCTGCTGACCTTCGCGTGTCATCTGTGGCTTTCGCAAAACTCCCAAAAACTCCCCAAAAATTCCCATTTTATTTCTTATAACGACCCCGCAATATATTGAAACCGCAATGGGGAAAGTCGCGATGCAGAAGGGTCGACTATAATTTGGTCATTAGGCAAGTATAGGAAAAAATGTTAAAGGCTTAATTTGTTTCCATAGCATCAAAAGTTACCCCTTTTCCACCCATAAAACGTACTTTATAACGTTTAACAAATGTATATTATCAAATAAAGTTACTAACAACATGATAAACACATAATATTAGAAGAAACATGGTTAATTCATTAATATTGCATTGTAATAAAAATCTACAAAGTTGGATGATAAAGCGAGACGAATATAGCAATACTGTATAGAGTAAAACACAGTCCGCGATGACACGCGAGATGCGTATGCAGGCTGAACAATGACTGAGGTGCATGGGAAGCATCTAGATTCGCCTTGCGTAATCTTATGCCGAGGCAGCCATACAACCGCTTTTTCCAACTCGCACGGCATAGTTCTATTCACTCAATCGCGTTTATCCAATTCTCATCCGCGTTATAAAAAGAATGTGTTCCTTAATACAATATTTGCGTGATGAAAACATGCTTTATAGCAGAACTGACTGTACACACTACACACACCAGACACATGGGACTAGCCCATTAGTGTAGTTAGCCCTATGCTGGGCCCTGCCATCCTGGTTTTCATCCGGGCAGTCCTCAGAGGATGACCTCGCCACGGTTTCCAGGACATGGAAGGGCATAGCTGAACCAGCATTTGAGAGCTGAGGTGGCCTGGTGATATCACAGATGAAGCCAAAAAGGGCAAGTACCAAGGCCACCTGTTAACAGTTAAGATTAATTTTATTCATAGTTATATAAGTATTTTTGTTGGTTTAAAAGACGTAATAAAAATACAATATTCGTAACATCGTCTCAAACTCGTCTGTATGTCATGCAACTCGGAGTTCACATGAGCGGGGGAGGGGACGGGGAGGGGTCTGGGTCTTGGCTTCACCGACTCCCCCTTGAAACCCACGGTGGGACTTGTGCCTCCTTATCATGCATAGAACGGTTCCACTCGGTGTGGACGCTGATGCACAGTGGCCCCGATGAGTCACTTTCGGTATGGTCTGATTAAGGGCCCATGCAATCAATAAACTCAGCCTCTCGACTTGACTACCGCTATGATGTGTTTACACACACTACGTGGTGCAGTTTTTTTCCCTCTGGTCAAACAGTGTCCATTACCTCAACCGCACCTTTAGGCCCCAGGTGCCTCCCAAAATCCTCTATCATCTACACAATGCAAAAATTAAGCCTCGAGACCTCATGCACTGCCCTGAACGTGTGGTTAAGATGGTGATGGCTTTAATGTACACACGTGGACTTCCGATTAGTAAGGTTGGCTACGTATACTGCGAAAGAAGTTCAACATATATACATATGTGGGCAGAGTCAACCGGCCCTTTATGTTCATGCAGAGCGATGGATACTCACTTTAGTTTGGTAAACTTAGCATCCCACCAACTCCGAAAAGGCAAATACGCACACACCCACCTCCTCTGATACTCTGTAACACTTGGCTTGCTATCAAGGCCTATGAAGACAAAGCACCAGAGGGCCTCTCTGGCTCACTTTAACCATTTGTTCTTACAAGTAAAACTCTGGACCGGTTTTAACATTCAGTGTCTCATCAGCAGCAGATTCACCTTAATCAGGCTCAATCGAGCCTGACTCTGCCGCTGATGAGAACCTGAACGTTGAAACTCGTGTGAAATGTGATTCTCATCGGGCCACAGGCCCATGGTGTAAACCAATGCATGCCTGCAGCTCTTAGCATCCAATCTGCCTCTCTCCTGGCTTCTCTGTGAATGTGGTATGAAGAAGAAAGGAAGTCCATTTCCCAAAACGTCGCCTATTCTGCCTATTTTATATTTAATTCAGTCAAAGCCTCACATGCTACGCTATTATTGATGACATGGAGAAGGGTCATTGCAAAAAAAGTACCAGTTCATCTGTTGATTACGTCATTAGATGGGGAGGGGGCGGCTTCCCTGACGTGAAAAGAGTGCAGAACACTCAGTGCAAGAGAGAGACACAGACACAGAAATAAACACAGCGACACAGAATCATGAAGACACAAAAACACACAGAGACACAGAAACACAGTCACAGTGGGAAAGAGGCATACAGAAAAACAGAGATACATAAACACAAAAACAGAGAAACACTGAGACACAGAAACAGTGACAGGGACACGGTCACAGGAATACAAAAACACAGACACACAAAGATACAGAAACACATACAGACACAGAAAGACAGAAAAAAAACACTCAAAAACACATACAAAGAAACAAATATACAAACACCACTTAAACAGAGACATAAAAACAGACGGATAGAATCACAAAGACACAGAAACACAGACAGACGCACAGAGACACAGATACACAGATGTAGTTGAGGTGTAGGTCTCCCCATTCTATTCCACTAACATGGTCCATCCGGCACTCACCCTGGATGCAATAACCCCTTTTTATTAACTCCAACACCACCACCACCACCACTCAGTCTGTCAGTTGGGGCATCCCTAATCCTGAATAGCCATGCGCATCGGGGTAACAAGGGGAAAAAACATAACTATTTACCACAATACGCCCGCACGCTTGTACGCACCTGCCATGCCATCCCACAGAGGTGCAGGCTGTGGTTTCTCGCTCTGAAGAACACGAGTAGCCAGGGCACAGCGTGAGTAGAACAGGCCCAGGGTGGAAGGTCATGGATGGTGTGAGCAGGGGGTGTATGGAATCTTCCGAGGGTAGTCACGATGTCTCAGCGCATACGACTGGGAGCACGCAGTGGTTACGAATGCCTGTCAACCTGATATCTTCAGCCAAGTGTCTACCGTTATGCTGACAATGCAGCATCGTGATAAGCCGCTTTGTATCTATATTCCTGGGATTCCCCGCTCCATGTCCCACTGGATCATGGTTCCGAGGTTAGCAGAGTTAGCCTAATAAACCTAATAAACATTGTACACAGTTGTTTACAAATGGAGCTGTTTACAAATGGTTTAGAGATGGGCAGGGTAGCTAATGTTAATGTGGGGAAGGTCTCTGACACCTGCAGTAGGTCTACACCATTCAACGGGCTGTTTACAAATGGTTTAGAGATGGGCGGGGTAGTTAATGCCAATGTGGGAGAGGTACTACGGAGCTGTGTGGGGTGGCCATTGTATTGTGAGGGTTTAGCATTTTTCCTGTTGCGATCGAAACGTCGTGATATTGTTAGTAGTTTTTTATTTATTTTTTATATCTACGTGGCTTTACTGAAAGACCCAAAGAATATGAATTCCTAGAGTCATGAAAGCTTTAAGTCAAGATTCGTACCAGGTAAGGCACACCGAGCTAAAGTTATTTTTCAAAGCTACCTGACCACAAATGATTGCTCAACGAAGTGGATTTTCCTTTGGAAATGTATAGCATTCAAATACTTTGTAATTTGATTCAATGTGTCATATATGCAACACAGTACTATGGTGATAATGCAAAACCTGGTTAACAAGATGGTCAGATGTTTGTAAGAATATTGTTGCAATTGCTGATGTGACACGGACACTTAGATTATGCACCCCATGCATGAACATTCACACGGCTTGTTCAATCTACTGCTAGATGAATGCCTCACCACAATATTTTGGTGGCTGTTTGACCATCCCTTGCCGGGCAGTCACGCGTGATGAATCCACTGCTGGATGAGGGCTTCCCTGAAGCCAAAGGCCTTTCCACAAGCCCGCGATGTAACAATCCACGCAGCTGCTGCTGTACGCACCGCTTTATCTCCCCGGATGTGGTCAATCCCAGACGCGCTCCGTTCGCTTGGTCGCCACACCCCTCGCCGTTCGTGGCCATCAGTCATCGCCCCTTCTGGCCGGGACGCGTCCACTCCAAAGCCCCCTGATGATGTGGATGCAGATGATGATGATCATTATCATGTGCATGATGTAGATGATGTGGATCATGATGTAGATGATGTGGATCATGATGTGGACGATGCTGATGATGCGGACGATGGTGATGTGGCCGAAGACGATGGTGGTTGGTCATGGTGATGTGGATGATGGTGATGTTGATGAGGGTCATGTGGAGGATGCTGATGTGGCTGAAGATGATGTGGGTGGTCATGATGATGTGGATGATGTTGATGATGATGTAGATGATGATTATGATGTGGGTGATGATGTTGGTGATGATGTGGATGATGATGTAGATGATGTGGATGAAATTAGATTCGATGCTTTCGTGACTGCAGGAATTATGTGGTGCCACCACGGCGGAGTAGCTCTGTTGGGGACCGTGCCCACCGCGGCATTGCGCCGCACCCCCCCCACGCCCCCCCCCCCCCGCACGAACGCTGGAAGGGGAGATCACCTGACCGATAGGTTTTTTCCAGAAGCCCCTAATGGGATTAAGTTTCATGGTTTCCTACGGCCAGGAATTTGTGCAATCTCCCCCCGTAGCTGACACGAACCGCGGCGCCGTGACCTGATATTGAAATCACGTAGTCGCGGCGGAGGCCGTAAAGCCACCACAGACGAAATTACACACGCGGCACG